GCTGTATGCCTTACCCATGGTAACACTTCAGCAGCAAAAGAATACGTTTGACCTGGACCTGTTCTTACTCCAGCAATCCATGGTAGAGCCTGGAGAAATCGTCTGTCTTCAAAGTTCAAGCTTGCTGGCAGTATCAGATAGGATGGCTCAGGAGATCTAAAGAAAATAAGCCCTGAACTACACTGTTTGGTGATCAGATTTTAATGTTTTGTGTTTTGTTGGTTTTGGGTTTTTTTCCAAAAAGAAGCAGGAAAGTTTGTCCTTGTAATGATGACTAGAGGACAAAAAATTTGCAGTTTGGCTCATGGAAAGGTCCTGAAGCATTACACTGATGTTCAAGAAGTTTGCACCTTACTGTAGCAAGAGCAAAGTTTGAGTCCTGTAGACATTAATAGGTCTCAAACATACTTAACTAGGGAAGACTTCATCCCACTGAAAGTAAAGCATGGGATTAAGAATTTTGCTGAATATGAGCCTCCAAAAAATCTGAGTTGTATTGTTGCTCTGGAAGTAATGGCCACAGGTATGTTTTTATATCTCCGAAGTAAAAAATATTGCTAATTAAAAAAGACCATTTAGATTATGGTTAAAGAACTCCTAACAGAAGTATTTGCTATGGGCTAATAACAGTTGTAACCCCCTGCGTTAACTCTATATGCTAAGATCTGCCTTAAAATGTGCATGGGCAGTTTCCACTGGTGCATGTAAACATAAATTACTGAATAAAGAATAATTGATTTAGAACTGTAAAAGATCAGTAGCCTTGCAGAGAAAAGGGACAGCAGTAGACAGATACATTTTTAAGTACTAATGACTCTGCCATATGAGAGTAGCTTTACTCTGTATAATGCATGAGTGGTAAAATAGGTCAAACCCTGGAAGCATCCACATGTTTGAAATCATTATGAATACAATGGTTTTACTGCATCACCAATTGCATAAGATCTCCAAAGCAAAGGCACATGTGGAATGCAAAACATAATGAAAATCCTTGCTCTTGTGTTGCAGATTAGAAAACTACTAGAGATTTTGGATCCTTTCCCAAATTTAATACAGTTACTTTCCTGTGGTCAGTGCTTCTATGTTTTCATTTTTGTGTGAGGATTTTGCTCCCTTGTTCTTTTTGTACCATTCCTAAGATTTCAGCTGTTTGTGGTATAGAAAATTTGGCATATTAACAATTATAGTCATTTTTATTCAAAGAAAAGTGTGGCCATCCCATTTATATTCTGCTAGAGCTTTCAGGGATGGGGGAAGGCTTCATCCCATGACATCCCATCCCCCACAAACAGAGGAAGCTACTTTGCTGCCTACCTACCACTACAGCTATAGTTATGTCAGTGCTAGGTAATGAAAAGGCTTTGTTATTTAACAGGCAAATAATAGAGAGCCTTTGTGCAGGGATAATTACAGTGGTTTGGATATTCCTGGATTAACTCTTGGGATGAATGTTCATCTCAGTAAATCACTAATAAATATACATTAGCACCACGTCTCTCTCTATTTTATACTCTAGTAATTTTTTGTCATACTACTCGCAAGTCTATCTGGGGCTGATTATGAAGTACAGGCTTCAATGCCCTTTGCCCATCTTTGCCGTATGACTGTAGTACAACAGTCAGAACTTCCTACATTTTACCTCAATCAATTTGTCTTCTGATAAAGCAGCAACAAGGTTGCATAGCTTGCTGGCTGCTGGGAAGAGTAACTGGCAAATATTTGTACAGCACTTCGAAGAAGTAGGACCTGACTTATTGCAGCATTACTGCTGCAAATGTCATGCAAATGCATGACACTATCATATGAAACAAAGCAACTGCTGAGAACCAGGCCCATAAAGGACCATGTGCCATTATTTCTCTCCTTGCACTATTTTCATATCTGTTATTTTTGCCAAGCTACCATTTGTTCAAGCCAGTTCACCATACAAGTCGATGAGGAGTTTCTGAGAACAAGGGAAGGGATGCAGGGTGGTGACAGGTACCGGAGATGCCCAGACAGAGGAGCAGGAGTCACCTTTGTCTGGACCTCTTGCTAGTGTTAAAACACTCAGGCCAAAGACTTGTTTCTATGGAAAGATGAAAAGTCTTGAAATCACATAAGGAACCCTAAATAGTAATCACAAAGATGTGCTGCATCTCATACCTTCATAATTTATGTTTGTGGAAATCAACACATGATTTTGCTGTATACAGGGCTCCTTCTTTCACAGGATAACCCACAGATACAGGTAATGACATTTCCCAGTACTGTTGCCCTGGACCTGAGCTCTGACTGAAGAGTTTTTGATGAAAATGAGGAGGTCCAAGGTCCAAATGTTTATCTTATATTTACAAGCAGTATTATTTAAAGTAAATTATGCTACCTGACAGCTCTTTTTACTCAGAGGGCTACAAAACAGCCCTCTTTGAAGAAAAAGTAAGACACAAAAGTTTATAGAGGGAAATGAAGAGTGGGAAAGTACTGCTATTATTATGGTTAAAAGTGCTATGAAATTGCTGTGAAAATCGGAAATCCATAATTTTATTGCCAAACTTGGTTTCATCTACAGTAATAGTCATTAACAGTGGAGATGAAAAAAAAGACCCATTAGGTCATTTTACCTATCTTCTTGTTAATTAAGAGTGTCTCCTTACAGGGATTTTGACCGTTTTGTTCATTTTAAAAATAACTAAAGCAATGAGGGTTCAAGTGATTTCTTTGGGAGACCATTCAGAAGACTAGCACACCTCACTGCTATGAAATTTTTCCTCATTATCAGCATGGATTTTTCTTTGTTCATTCTCATGCTGTTATTTCTAGTTATACTTGGTTGGACTATTTCTGTATTACATCAAATTCCATCATTTCATCTCACATACGTATTTCTTTCCCAAGGTAGATACTGGGCTAAATCTGAGCTTCAGTCAAGAAACTGGATATAAACCCATAGTAGTGATTGGCTATAATAGGTCCTATTTTTACTACATATTGAGCCCACAAACAAAAAGAATTGCTTTTTCAATTCTAAATGGGAAATCTGAAAATCAATTTTTTTCTTCAAGGATTCTTTTTTTCCCCCAAGTATATGACTGCCTGCTTCTCAAATCCACTCAAGCACTTAAAAAGCAGCTTCCCCTCCAAGAAAACTGAACTGACATTCTGGAGCTGCAAGTCACATCGTAGTTCACATTTAAAGGGAAGGAATGTCTTTTATTTACTACAGGACCAATACCAGACATATCTTTGCTCAAATAGTTAGCTAAAGGTGAATGTGTTCCCTGCAGAAGGTCACAACAGAGTATGTACCACTTAAGTCTCAATTACACTCTATTTATACCTGAAACTTTCCCTAATTGGGAGATTCTGGGAATTTTTCTCCATTTAGCTGTATTTTGGATATTTTACTCTCTCTTGGAGAAGGCATTTGTAGAATTAAATATTATCAATAATGGTGTGAAGTAGACCTCCTAGTGTATAGCAAGACAAAACCATGTAGGCAGTTAAGTAATATTGTTAACTAATATTATGCATATTGCCCCTCTTTATTTTCACACATTCTCAGGTACCTAACACCTTTAACATTCAATCCCCTGTAAAAAAAGTAAAAGCTTTACTGAAAAATCTTTTTTTTCTCTCAGAGAAAAGTGAGTAAAACCCATGAATAAACATACAAGTTTTCCAAACAAGTGGAAACAAAGTGCCAACAAACAACTGAACAAACACATTTCAGAAGTCTAATATTATCTCTAAATTGAGCTAATGAAATTATAAAGATGTTCTAGTTTATCCTTTTCTTTGAAACACATTTTCCATAAAAGGGTATTGGTCTCACCATACCACCTTCTTTCCAGCTGACAACTTTTCTCAAGAGGGAAAAAAAACCAGGACAAAATATTCATGCCTGTAGTCACACTCCTAAACCTGTGGCCAGATACCCTAAAGAGAAACTAAAACTTATGCAGAAGATCCAATCATATAATCATAGAATGTTTGGTTTCAAAGGGACCTTAAAGATCATTTAATTCCAACCCCCCTGCCATGAGCAGGGATACCTTCCTCTAGATCAGGTTGCTCACAGCCCCATCCAACCTGGCCTTGAACACTTCCAAGTATGGGGCATCCACAGCTTCTCTGGGCAACCTGTTCCAGTGCCTCACCATCTTCTAAGTAAAGAATTTCTTCCTAATATCTAATTTGAATCTCTCTTTTAGTTTAAAACTGTTCCCCCTTGTCCTATCACTATCTGCCTGTGTAAAAAGTTGCCTTCCCTCATTTTTGTAAACCCTCTTTAAGTACTGGAAGGCCACAATGAGGTCTCCTCAGAGCTTTCTTCAATGCTTCTGGTTAGTAAGCCATTGCTTTTATTTTGTTGATAATTTTCAGGGAGGAATAACTTTGTTAAAATACATTTCTAGATCCTTGTTTCCTGTTTCTGGCCAACTCCTCCCTTTTGTTTTGCAGTTTAGATAAATTAAATACTGATTTATAAACTACAAGCTTATTCTCTTGTCCTCACGAACATAAGGACTGTCTGTTGTTCTTGTGAAAATAAATTCATTCTGCTCAGCTTTCCCGATATATACACATGCTGGGATGAAAGGTTACTGTGAAGTCTCTGGATCTGATCAGCTGCATGGCAGTGAAGAGAATTAGTGGATTACAGGAGATAAAAATTTAAAGTGAAAATAAAGAAATGCTTAAAACTACATTAAAGCACATGTGCATATCACAGGAAAGTCCAACGTATCGGCATTCTGGAGAATGGTATAGCAAACCTGTAAACTTCCTAGGCTTGTTGTGTATATGCCAGACCCTTGAAACTAGCTAGTGTGGAAAATGTTCTTGTAGTTTCACTTCCTCTGCAGGGTCTTGGGTTACGGTTTTCGTTTGTGGCGTTGCCTTTTGAGGGTGTTGGGTTTTTTTTCCCCCTCTTTAAGCAATGAAAAATGCAAGGGAAAGAAATTTACCAGTTCGAGTTCCTCAAAAAACAGGTTAACTATTCTCCTATACATTCTTACCTTGTGTTTGTCACCATTTCCAAACTCTGTCTATTACTTCATGAAACTGCTTTATCATTCTCTCCTGAGAGCAGGGTGGACAGTCTGGGATCCGTTTTAGAATATGTTTAAGTATTACATACACATTTATATTGTATCAGTTTATATTTAAAAAAGCAAGTTCAGAGAACTGATGGTGGCAGATTTCACAGTAGACTTTAGATCTTCTAGATACACCCTCTACAGTTCTGGGCTACCAAGAAGGAAAGCTCTGTTACTTATTAACTTAGTGCTTGATGTCCTAAATAACAATATGAGCCAGAAGTGCATGCAAGGGTTGCTCTCAATGCAAGGCACTCCATTTCTCAAGGGCCAAGTGATGTGTAGCACTTTTTCCAGCCCAGGGACTCAGGAAAGAAAAGCCCAGCTATTGCAGCCTAGACTGTGATGAAGCTTTACTCTTCTTCTACTCTTGTGTGAATGAGAGTAGGGAGCTTTAGAGTATGTTCTTACAGGCATGTTTTTCCTAATACTCACATGTCCCCAATATTCCTTAGGACCTTTTAGGAATCTTTACATCAAAAGATGTGTAGTGGTTGAGACTGCTGACACACTGGAAAATGCAGGAGGGCTCCTTGGGAACATGATTCTCTCCAGCCTGCAGCGCACAAAACTTAGGTAACTTCCTAGCTCTCAGGGAGATTATTTTGAAACTGCATGAAACAAATCATTCCACCAAATAATTTCCACAGTCAAAAGCTGGCAATATTAGTCCATAAATCAAACCTGTATTGCATTCAGTCCCTCTACTCTGCTTCTCTCCTTGAAGATAGGCAAGCAAATCCAGGCTTCCTTACTCCAGACAGTAAATACCAGTCATTGCCTTCTAAATTAATTTCAGAAGTCTGTTTGGTTGCAGTTATACCAGGGGATGAAAGTAAAGTTGTTGTGACCATCAGATCCTTCGATTCTGAAAGTACAGTCAAGTCAAATATTTAGATTTGTTTCTAGTATCTGCTGTTTCTGGTAAGCACTAGTGTTTTCAAGAAGCCCCATAGACAGACTTGGCAGTCTTCCTTTCACTCCAGAAAAGATCTTGTGTCATCACTTACACCCTAAAACACAGAGGCTCACAGGAGCAATGGAAACTGACCTTTGCAACAATGTTGTTGATGTTAGTCAACAGTATATATAGATTTATATAACGTCTTGACCAAATCTATACAAGTACTACTACAGTTTCAGCTTTTCGACAGTAGATTAGGACAGTAATAACAAAAAAATTAACTTCCTAAAACACTACAGTATGTTCTTAGCAAGATTCTAACAAAATCTGGTGAAATACCAAAGCAATCAGTCTTATTGTATCTTTGGGCAAACTAGGCAGGTTAGGTGGCTTGAATTTACTGTAAGAAAGTCTTGTCTTACTAACTGTATCTGACCAGGCCTTTCTCCCAGCATTGCTCGCTGCAGGGCAGCTCCAGCAAAAGTGCCGGTAGTTCCCAGTGCAAACTGGTAGAGACCAGTTCACAGCAGGTTCCAGGACACTGTTTTGTCTAAAACTACTCAGCCATTCTGTGCAGCAAAACAGCTACTATCTTAGACCTCCTGCTTTTGCTGTGACCAGGGGGGCTGCATTGCTGTTAGCAATGGGGATAGATAGGGACAATTTTCAGGAAAAATTAAAAAAGAAAGAAAAAAAAAATGGGAAAACCCTAATGAAGGGAAGGGCATGGAAGCGAAAGTTCAAACCAAGCAGCTCCAAAGCAACTATTGCTAATTTCAGAATCCTTTAAACCTGTGAATAAAAGCATGAATTCAAATTAATCAATTGTCTTTTAAAGTCGCTGAGGTAGCACTCTATTACCTGTGCCTTTAGAGTGCATCTCAGATGTGTCATTCAGGCTTCTGAAGACAAGAAAGATACAAATGAATCACCTTGTTACAAATTAATCACCCTGGGATTAGGGCTAAAAATTTCAAAAGCACCTTAAAATGACTTAGAAATCTAATTCCCGTTTTCAGAATTCACTTAGGCAGTTGCATTCTGACTCTAGTCAAAAGTCAATAGGATGATAACTCCTAAGTCACTCTAATACATCCGAAAATGTTACCTGCTTCTATATGTAACACAACAAGCCCCTCTGTATTCGCGTTTGCCCTTCAGTGAGTGTCCCAGTCTTCTGCTTTTTCATCCCTGATTTCTGTCCACATTTACCATATGTTGCGCTTTCATTTTCATTAAACATTTTGAAAGATGGAGGTTTCAAACAGTGAGCTACTCATTCATTCATCTTTCCACACAGAAACCTAGCATCAGTAAAACACCAATTTCAGACATTATTTTTAACTAATGAGAAACGAAATGTTTTTCCTGACATTGACAGCAAAATCCATGCACCTATTTGTATATTTTACATAATGATACAGCATGTGCTACTGTCATATCTCAGACTAAGCATACATTTTGGTCTTCTCCCAGTTATATGCCTTTTTCATAAATTAATGGGTAATCATAGGATAGACAAAGTTTCATTTGAGTCCTAAGGGGGTAAAGCAGTAGTTGAGCTATCTGGATGGTACTGCTCTTCCATCGACCAGATTATGATAAAGTCCCTTTTCTTCCTTGGGGCATTGGAAAAATCTTTTAATTCTCCATGTCTGTTCCCCTCCACCCTATGTCTGTCTTGTCCATTGCATCTGCAACATTATGTTGGCAGCACTTCTCTCAAAAATGTCTGATTCCACTATGGCACAAACTATAAGAAATAAAGGAATATTCATGTCTAGACGACACCTATTCAAAGCGTATATAAACATAATATCTTGCTTTCTGGTATAAAAAAAGATGAACTTCATAGTGCTAGTGAATGGCCAGCTAGAAAAGGGAATTAAGATAGGGCAGAGAGGCAGAAAACAAAAGCAAAAATCACATTCAGATCTGAAGGAAAATTATATTCACAGTAAATCAGCAGTTACCCTGGCTTTTAGCTCAAGATTTCCCTTCCCTTCACCCACCCCCCACACCCTTGTTTTTTTATTGTTTACTTTTTAGTTCTTTCGCCCAAGACTCTGTAGTTTTCAGTCTTTTGTCATCTTCCCTAGACAAAAGCACAGGACTTGGGGAAAAGGATTAGGGAAAGGGAAATTCCTATCCTGACATTTATTTCTTCAGTGACCTTGACAAAGTCGCTTAATTTATTGTTTCCCTTACTGTAACAAAATGGACAGGAATAAAAATGAAGTCTTTTTCTAACAGTCACAACTGCCTTGTGATCCAGTCCTGTCTGCTGAGTCTGCTCTAAAACCCCAGATTAAGTTAGTACAGATTCGAGCTGTAATTGTTATCAGTAATGCCTCGCCTCTCCTCTAGACACACTTTCTGCAGCGGTCAATACCTGTTCAGCAGCCGGTCATGGTGGGAGAATAGGAATCGCCAGAATAAATGCTATGCCCTTTCTCCCAAGCCTGTTGCATCTCAATAAACTTTGCAGTGTGTCCAGCAAAGGAGGAATTCAAAAGGGTGGTCCTAAATCAGGACTCTGAAGGGCTTTGCATTCAGAATAAGACACTATGGGAGTATCATGATGACAGCTGCACTTACATCACTGAAAATAATTATTCTGATCCATGAACACAAGCTAAGCCGTAAGAATGGTCTTGTAAGCAAGGTCTGTTTTAATAGAAACATAAGTATTATGCATTACAGTCTATTATAAATTGGTTGTAATTTTCTCCTGACACTCTGTGAATTAAACTAGTTAGGATACAAAAAAAATAACAAATGCCACAAAGCAGAAAGCAAGCTCAGTGTCTGAAGGTTAATGATTGCTCATGAAAGCTACAGAAATAAATTATCTGCCTAGGGACACTGTCACATGATCGGCACAAAAGCTGCAACAGCCGAAAATGTTTATGTAGAGAAAAAAACACTGTCAGCATCACAGCGCCCTTCCCCCACCGCCGGAGCACAGTCCCGAGCCAAACAGCTGCTCCTGACTGCTTACATTAAACTAATTTGTGCTGCAACATTGCAGCTGCTTAATTTTTAGACTGAACTTTATCACCAAGAAGTGTTACAATAACAAGTGATGCAGCCCTATCTCTGAAGAAATAGCAAGTTCCTCAACAACAAAGGCAGCTTAAGATGCTGAAATTCAAGAAAGCAAGAGGGCCATGACCAAAAGAGTATTTTAAATCTTAATGACCTACTCTTACTGGGAAAGTAAAAAACAGGTTTGCTTCTAAATTAATTGGGGGATCAGACTGTGCCCCTAAGCGGACGCGGACACCTCAGTATCAGGGATCAGTGACCAAGAACCATGCCACAGGCTTATGGAGCAGGAAGGTGGAAGCAGGAAGGTATTGGGGCTCCCAAGGGTCACCCACCCTTCCCAGGTGGCCTCCCCTGCACTTGGTGTTGTGAGATTGCACTGCAGAGCCCCATCACTTGCACCACCTTCCCTGCAGCCTTGCCCCTTCTCTTCTCCAAGCCCCCACTGGTTTGGGGTTTAGTGTCCTGTAGCACTGCTTGCATGTCTTTCTGGGCACAGGTTCACTGGTGTCTCCTCAAAACATTTATTGCACTCAACATTTAAAAAGCACAAGTTTGAAAAAAAAAAAAAGGGAAAAACCCTAGCTCATTCATATCCCAACAGCTTGAAAGCCCTGACCTCCTCCTCACCCCTCCCGCTGCCTCCCCCCGCCCCAATCCGAAAAAATGCATTCGAAGGCAGTGGCATCAGAGGAAGTGTTTACAGAGAGTGCTGCGCCTTGGGTAACGCAAGTGCTGCACTTACAAAATGTCACATGTTGTTCCTCCCCTTTTCCTCTGAATTATTTTCCTCTGTTAACATGCAGGGCTTCGTCTTCTGCTGAAACAGACACTGACCTGAACTGGTGGTGATTCCTGCCAAATATGCAGGCACTGTTTTGCTACATTTTGGAATTCGGCAAAGTCCATGTGTCAGGCATTTGCTTGTGCTCAGGAAACGCCAGTGCTCAGTCCAAAGCCCTCCCCGCCCCCTCCCGCCCCCAGTGCTTGGAATGCACAGAAACTTTTCAGTTTTTAATTAGTTTTAATATGATTAATGTTTTTAGCTGCATAT